CTTATCTAAGCAGCACACACCTTACACTTTTATATAAATCTCTGCCCTTCATCTTAACGAGGAAACATACCTCGTTAGCAGATAATATTAACATGAATCTTGCCAAGGTATTTGTTTTTGTAATACCGAAATATATCACAGGTCTCAACAGAAATTGTTTGTTTGTTATACCTAAAGCTAACATATGATTTATCTGGAAGTTTTTGCTCGCAACACACTAAGCTAACAAATCTTCTTAGCAGAAACTTTGGGATTTTTACACGTTTTCCGTGTTCTACAGCAATTCAAGTACGCTGAATCCAAAAATTATATCCATTTTTCTCCATCACATACAAAATTTTCACAAAACGACATATGTACTTTTATATAAGTGAATCATTTTCATTGAAATAGGGTCACATTTTTTTTTATGCTTAAAATATTGACAACCACTGGTTATAGATTTCTCTAGACCAATCACGACGTGAGAGTCTTATCGACCATTCTAGAACCCATGAGAAACACACTGCTAGTACATAAACAGTTAACAGGCCGCGTGGCGTGTCATCTCCGGATAGTGTTTGTTTGTGCGTGCACTTTGACATTATTTTTTTTATTTTCAATATTATTTATTCGTCGCTATGTCAACAAGCAGTTGTGTAAATGACCCAAACATATTCTGTTATATTTGTGGCAAATTTATTGTACAGAAACAAAGGCAAAACATTACAGAATTCATCAAAAAAGTGCATTACACATATTTTGGAATAAAACTTGGGGGACCAAGACAAATCATGGGCTCCGCACAAAGTTTGCACCATTTGTGTTGAAGAGTTTAGACAGTGCACTAAGGTTAAGAAAACGTTTTTGCTTTTTGGAATTTCAATGGTCTGGCATGAGCCTAGAAACCATGGAGATGACTGCTGTTTTTGCTCATGTAACGTGCAAGGGTACAACACTCGAAATAAAAAGGAAATTTATTATCCAAACTTTCAGTCTGCTATAAGACCTGTTACTCATGGACATGGTGTACCTGTACCTATTCCACCGCAGACTCTTAATACAGTTTCATCTTATTCTGAATCTGATGTCAATAGAAATGATGATATGGATTGTTTTTAACCTGAAACGTCTGTAGAACCACAAGTTTGCACACAAGTTGAACTTAATTAGTTGGTGAGAGATTTGTGCCTTCCAAAGGAATTTTTTCAGAGATTTTGGAGTCTAGACTTCGGGATAACAACTTACATTCTTCATGGACATAATTTTACTGGTATAGAAATTGTGAGAAAGAGTTTCTACCATACTATTCGTAAGAAGGTTCACTGGTTTATTGTAACAATATTGCTGAATTAATACCAATGCTAGGAGCTGCAGTCTATGAACCAAGTGAGTAGCGATTGTTCATTGATTCCTCCAAAAGAAGTCTAAAAGGTGTAACATATATGCATCTGTTCCTATTGCTCATTTGGTTCACTTGAAGGGAACGTACAAAAATCTCGAACTTCTTCTTAATAAGGTCAAATACAAAGCACGTGGTTGGCTACTTTGTGGAGACTTAAAAGTCTTTTGTATGTTGTGGGGTCAACAATCCGGCTACACAAAGTTTCCATGTTTTTTGTGTGAATGGGACATCAGAGCACGATATCAGCACTGGATAAAGAAGCAATGGCCACGCAGAGTCAGCTTGATACCAGAATCGAAAAACATTTGAACGTGAAAGTTTCGTTGACACAAAGAAAGTCCTATTACCTTCACTTCACATAAAACTGGACTTGATGAAGCAGTTTGTAAAGGCTTAGACAAGGATGGCGACTGTTTCAAGTATCTATGTGAGCAATTCTCAGTTCTTTCAAAAGCGAAACTTAAATAGGAGATTTTTGTTGGGCCTCAGATTAGGAATTTGACCTCGGACAGTCAGTTCGAAAGGACAATGAGAAAAGTTGAAAAAGAAGCGTGGATTGCCTTTAAAGATGTTACTGACAAATTTTTATGAAACAACAAGGACCCAAATGAAGAAAATATTGTCAATAACATGCTCGATAAATTCAATGAGTTGGGTTATAATATGAGCTTCAAAGTTCATTTCTTACACTCACATATTGACTATTTCCCTGAAAATGTCGATGCCGTCAGCGAAGAACAAGGGAAAAGGTTTAATTAAGACATCGGGAAAATGGAGAGGAGGTATCAGGGAAGATGGAACATTAGCAGACGCAATACATAAAAAATAGACCACAACATG